CCCTATTGAGGTTTATCCCCACCTCACCCTATTGAGGTTTATCCACACCTCACCCTATCGAGGTTTATCCACACCTCACCCTATTGAGGTTTATCCACACCTCACCCTATTGAGGTTTATCCCCACCTCACCCTATTGAGGTTTATCCACACCTCACCCTATTGAGGTTTATCCCCACCTCACCCTATCGAGGTTTATCCCCACCTCACCCTATTGAGGTTTATCCCCACCTCACCCTCCCAATTCAAGTTCAATCTTTCCTTGATTTATTCTATATAAATAATAATCTGAAGGTCAGTGTGCTAGTGTGAGAATGCTTAGATCAGTGCTAGACATCACCTCAGAAATGTATGAGGTCCGAAAATATGTTTCATGTAACCTTCGTAAGCAGATGACTTAAGAAGATTCATAAATGTTTAATTATCCATCTGCTAACATCTTAGTGAGTGAGGCATATTCAGACCCCTCGCAATAACTTGTTTCTATGCTTCACATATCCACGAGTTAAAAAGGTATTCTATGACTGGTGTTACCACAGGTAACCTGGTAATAAATATATCTCTAAGATAATTTCGTATAGTGATGAAGTGGTATATTTGTAACTATACTTCTGGTAAATCCCTGTTGGTCTTTGTCCAATCAGATGTGCGTCCAGAATATGTAAACTCAACACAAGCTCTAAATATCAGTCCGGTCCCCTTTCTTCCCTCTGATCTCCTCCCCTCCCCCCTTCCCTTGCATGGGCCTAAAACTTAGGTTATATATTCTCAGGGCTGAACAACTATAATATTTACTTGCCTGATGTATACTGCAACACCATACTGAGGAATCATAGGTTCTTGGTCCAGTTCCAGCAACCATACTGTAGTTAGGATGCATTGTTTTCATACCACATTTTGATTGGTTCACTCTGTCTAACTGGTCTAAGTGACTGTAGTTGCGGTAGTGTCACACTGTACRAATAGTGTCAGTCCTTTCAAGCACCCAAGAGAACTCTGGACCTGGGGGAAAAATGAAGGTTAYGACATAATGTTAATTAGCATTATTAGCACAGTTGAAATAAGCATTTTGTAAGAGGGATTGTCTTTAAAAATAAAGAATCAGTGGACAGAATTTGGGATCATTCATTCTTTAGAGAGGGAGGGGGAGGGAGCTGGAGGAATAGCTGTTTGCATGTGCCTCATTTGCTTGCCAATCAATACCCCACGGAGGACTTTCTGTTAAAGACCCCCCTACCCCTAGAAATTCCAATGTTATTTCATACAAAGTTACTCCGTAATTTTTTTCCTTTCTCTGACCCCTCCTCCCCCCCCTTCCCAACCCTCAGAAATTCCAAACTCCTTCAAGGTGTGGGGCTTGGGGATGGATAATTTCACATTAAACCTAACACATTGCCTGATTTGGTATTTAGCCTAATATTAAATCATTATTTTGTTATTTTAAAACACTAAAAACAGTTTGGAAAAACAAAACAAGTTTGTATTTAACTTGAATAAAATTTAACCTTAGCCATAACCCTTTTATTGAGCATGGAATGAGTGCTGAGAACGGCAAAATATGCCCAGTTTTCAAAAGGAGAAAACACCTATGCCATAAGTAAAATTTAAAACCAAAATAAGCTTCCATTATGACTGTGTGCAATCCTAATCTTGACTCAAACTCTTTCATGGAGAACCAAAACTATGCACAGTATTTTGCTACTTTGTAACTTGATTGTATTGCCAATATTGTGACAAGTAATGCACGATAAGAGAGCAAGAATAGGTCAATGGCATCGTGGCATATTTCCTACCACTACCATGCAGACTCCTTTCCACACTTTCTTTTATTCAGTTTATTAGCACCAACTGTCTTTAGTTACTATTATCATGAGGAAATACAAATAATTTGAAATACAAAGAAAATTGGCAAAGCATTTTGGTAGGGATAGACAAATGATGGCATCATGCAAGCAGCATTTTAAACGATGGACTAGCTTTAAGCAATGTAAAAAAAATCTCTTTTTCTCATCAATAATATTTTTCTCTCTTGCTCCTTTTACTGAATATGTTTTTAGACTAGAAGAACTTTATTTGTACCCATTATTA